GACTAATGTTCAGACTCAACTGTTACTTTGTCTCTTTCAAGAGGTGTTGATGAAATGTTGACAAGCAAAGAAAATGGCCAGACATTGTTTCTTGATTTGAGCATAGCATCACTCCATTTGTGTCGGTGCACTGAAAGTAAATGCAACTGGTTGTTCTTGCTGCATTAGGGTTGCTCCAATCCTGACTTGTTGGTGTCATACTTCAGGATAATGTCATTTACATCATTGTATTTCAGCACTGGCATTGCTGGAACTAGTTGTTTGATTCTAGTGAATGCTGTTTTTTGTTCTGTGCCCCAATATCACTGCACATCCATGGCAGTGAGTTGCACACTGTTGACAAATTGCGCTGAAATTTTGCCAAATAATTAAAGAATTTAACAAATTGTTGCATTTCTTTTACAACTGTTGGTTTCTGCTACAGATCTCACATTTTTTGGGGGATCCGAACGAGAACCTTTAGTACATGGGCAAGTTGTGGTAAAATTCCTTTGATGCCTGGCATGGGGATAGTGAGATCTCATCAAGGTTTATTTAGATTCTTTAAGCCATTGCATATTCCCAACTTTCTACGTTTTACTGCTACCATGCTTCTAATCCATTCTGTTGGAGTTTTCCTTTTCCTGATTGATCCCTTCTATTCCAGTGTTTCTGTCTTGTCTTTCAAGCTGACCTTGAGGGCAACTGGAAATCTCTATGGCAGATGCTAAATTGGTTGTACATTCTCATCTACTTCTGGTGACTGCTACAAGGTTGGCAGATGGGAGCTTCGCATGCTCAATGTTTATCAGAATGTATGGGACTCTAGAAATATTCAAGTAGCAGAAAATTGGGCTGTTATTTTACTTGTTCACACCATCACTGTTGTTGAAGGCTCACTTGTCTCCAACTGGCCAACCATACCTTGTTGACTACCTTCGCTACCTGTGTTGCCACTTTCAGTAAGGGTTCTGCCCTGAAGAGTACTGATAGGCAGAGGGATCTGGGTGTACAGATACATAGGTCACTGAAAATGGCAACGCAGGTGGAGAAGGTAGTCAACAAGGCATACAGCATGCTTGCCTTCATTGGATGGGACATTGTGTTAAAAAATTGGCAGGTAATGTTGCAGCTTCATAGAACCTTAGTTAGACTGCATTTGGAATATTGTATTCAGTTCTGGTTGCCACACTATCAGAAGGATATGGTGGCTTTGGAGAGGGTACAGAAAGGATTTACCAGGATGTTGCCTGGTATGGAGGGCATTAGCTATGAGGAGAGGTTGGAGAAACTTGGGCTGTTCTCACTGGAACAACGGAGGTTGAGGGGTGACCTGATAGAGGTCTACAAGATTTTGAAGGGCATGGACAGAGCGGACAGTCAGAAGCCTTTTCCCAGGGTGGAAGAGTTAGTTACTAGTGGGGAAAAGGTTTAAGGTGCGAGGGGCAAGGTTTAACGGTGATGTATGAGGCAGGTTTTTTGCACAGAGGGTGGTGGGTGCCTGGAACTCGCTGCTGGAGATGGTGGAAGCAGATACGATAAAGGCTTTTAAAGGTCGTCTTGACAAATACATTAATAGGATGGGAATAGAGGGATATGGTCCCCGGAATGTAGGGGGTTTTAGTTGTGACGGCAGCATGTCGGTGCAGGTTTGGAGGACCAAAGGGCCTGTTCCTGTGCTGTAATTTTCTTTGTTCTTTGATCAGTCTTGCTCAAGCATTATATCACATATAGCAGAGCTCTGGTGTAACTGTGGGAACCACCCTCATCACTGTGGGAGAAAAGGGTAGAATACCCATGTAGAATTCCACTTGCAGCAATAAAGATAGTTTAATTCCAACCAACAGCGTCCTTAAATTGATTACCGTCACAGACAATGGATAGACTGGAGGAGACATCTCTCACCTCATTTCAAACGTGGACATTGGTGAGTTGGAGGAGACCCAGAGGAAGCAGATTTTTTCCACTCTCATCAAGTGTAGGACAACTTTCAGTGAAGATTCTGATGGCATTGTGTACTGTGATCTGGTAAACCACAGGACTATGCCTACAGATGACTGTTCAGTAAAGATTTCTTATCACAAGATCCTACTCCATCACTGGGTCTATGTCCACGATGACCTGCAGAAGCCTTTGAAATGGGATGCCATCTGAGAATCATGTCCGTACATCTCCCCCACAGTCTTCATGAAGAAGAAAGTTTTAAAATTGAAGATTTGTGTTGATTACTGCAAAGACTTATAAGGATGCTTGCCTTCTACTGAAGATTGAAGAAGCATTGCAAGTTCTCAAAAGTGCAAAGTATTTCTGCAGTCTCAATTTGGCCCAGCGTTATAAGCAGCTACCCTTCGCTGAAATGATGGCACCAGGAACTTTATAAGTACACAAGCATGCCATTTGGACTCTGCAATGCCTATGCTGATTTATGCTTGTGATGTTTTGGCAACCCTAATTTTCAGACCTTCCTTGTGTACATGGATGACATACTTAGTTTCAGCTCAACATTTGGGGAGACCCTCACAAAAATAAACACTGTCCAGCCTGCTTGTTGCAGTTCAACTTTACAGCAGTATTAACTTTTCCAGACAGTACGACAGTACCTTGGGCATTTTGTAACCAAGGAAGCTATTACTCCTGACGATGAGAAAATCCAAGTGGTAAATGAGTGGCCCAGTCTAACACGGGGAGGGAACTGCATGAGTTCCTTGGTGTTACTGGTTATGATAGGAGGTTCTTGCAAGGCTTTTTACAATTGGTTGTCCATTTCATGATTTACTGAGGTAATCAGAGAATTCTAAAGAAGTGATTGAGAAAGGAAGTACAAGGTGTGATACTTCAGGGAGCACTACAGAAAGTTGAGTCCAACAATGTGAAGATAGCTATTGCACCCTGAAGCAGAAACTTGTCTATCATCTGTCTGTGGATACCCAGGTTTCCAGCTCCCTTTCATACTGGAAACTGACACCAGGTTTCTTGGCTTAGGAGCCATGATGTCACTGGTTCAACGGCAGCTAAACATGGCTACACATATGCCAGCCAAAATCCGAAACTGATTGAAAGGAATATGTAAAATTACTCCAGTATTAAACTCAAACTGCTCACTTTGAAGGCTATTTCCCAGAAGTTCAGAGCAATTCTGATGGTGCAGAGTTTGTAGTGTTTACAGACAACAACCCAATCAGTGTCGTTTAAACATCCATCAATTTTAGGGCAACAGAGAACCAATCGGCTGAACTCATAATGTTTCAATTCTGGATCCGGTTTGGTCAGGTAAAAGTAACACAAATGCCAATGGCCTTAGCCAGTTGACTGACTGCAGGAGGAGACCTCTCCCTGCCTACCTGGTGCGGGCCCCAGGTCTGACCCCAGTTCCCTATGATGCTCAGACTAATATTCACCAGGATAACATAAAAGCATTCACGAATGAAATCTTTGCCATCTATCAGAAAAGAGGATCTCACATAGCTTCAGCTGATTGACATAGGCTTTTTTAGACAGTGCCATTACTGCAAGGCTCAACACCTGCCAACCAGTTGGGAGTCCAAATAGGCATGGAAACTGTTGAGGTCCTAGAAGAGGATCAGGGAGCAGATTGGAATTCTTTATTAGCCAGTTCATGACAAAAAGAGAGAGGCGAAGCAACTATTCTTCCTAATAGTCTCAAGTATTAACTGCTAGTAGTCATGATTGAGCAGTACACCAAGTGATGGAAAAGGCAAATGCCCTGAACAGAGAATGGTCTTACTGGTCTGGGATTGCTTCTGATATTTGTGACTCCTGTTGAAATTGTCAAAGTTGTACTTTGGTTAAAGCAGGAAGCAACTTCATCCCAGCACGTGATCCCCGGTCACCAAGAGATATCTGGAGATCATTGCAATGGATTTTACAGTACTTGACCCCAGCAGTAATGCAATCGAGCAAATTCTCATACTCCCAGATGTCTCCACCACGTTCAAGCATACCATTTCCACCCTCTGACCAAAAGGCACAACCTATAGCCAGAGTGTTAGTACATGATTTGTTTGTCTGTTTCAGTAGTCCACGTTGGATTCATGGTGATCAGGGATGTAGCTTTGACAGCAAGATCCTTGAGGAGCTTTTCAAGTTCTATGGCATTGCCAAGCGCCACACTACCCTAACCATCCAGAGGGTAATGGATAGTGTGAACAATTCACCCATACACTACATGACCATCTGCACACCTTGCCTACTGAGAGTAAACAAAAGTGGTCTGAACACACTTTGGAGCTGGTTTATGCTGATGATAGCACCCCACACTCACCCACAGGCTATTCTCCACACTATCTCTTCTTTGGATGAGACCTAGTCCTTCTTGTGGACCATCTCCTTGAGCTCACCACACCTTCCGATGGGGATGGTCATTAATTAGAGAGCAAAGTGTCATAAGAGGCTAAGTCAGGTTTTCGAGATGGCGTCTAAGAGAACCAAGAGAGAAGTGCCAAGAAACAAAACATTGAACTATCATATGGCTGTCAGGACTGACCTTCAATTGTCAAAGGTATTACTCTGTAATTGGAATATCAGGGGTCATACTAAGATGCAGGATGTGTAGGAACCTGAACTCCAGTCAAAATTAAGCCACCCTCTTATATACAGAAGACCAGGAAAATAAGAGAGTTCAGTCTGTCTCTCTTACCATCCACAACAAGTATAAGAAGCACATAATCACTAAACAAATCCATCCCTTCATTTTAAAGTAATTGCCAATCAAATACAACTTTGGCTAGGAATCAAAACAGTTAGTGGTGGATTGAATTCTGTTGGTCATCAAGCTAATAGTATGGTAAGTCAAGAGGGTTATATATTGAAAACTAATGTTACCTGTTATATACTACTGGAGAAAGCAAAAATTACCCTCAGTAACTAAAGTAAAAGAATAACTTGCCTGAAGATAAAATGAGTAAATAAAATTACATTATTAATATAATTTATTAAAATGAATATTAAATAGGCCAAAGTAAGAGTTTATTTCAGTTATTTCTGCATGTATAATTTTGCAGGAGCAGAATATAATTTTGTAAAAATGGATACCAATAATTTGGGGACAACATATGATTATTCTTCAGTCATGCATTATGGGAGGTAAGTGTAAGATTAGTGTCTTTCATTGCGATAATGGAGCTATGTAATTTGGGAAGATTGCATTTTAGATGTAAAATTAAAGCTATTTTCATAGTACAAATAATTAAACACATCTCTGATATGTTTGGGCTTTATACTTGGTCTTTTTTAATAAGCAGGTTAATCTCTTTATTCACTTTCCTTCGCAAATACCTTGTACATATTATTGGTTGATCAATGCCCAAGAACTAATTATTGAAAGAAAATAACAGAAGCAAGAGCCACTTACAAGGACCCCAGAAGGTTCCTCTCAGGAAACTCCAGAGGTATCCAGTCCCTGCACTCCTTCCTTGCCTGTGAGTTCAAAGCCTGCAGCAGTTCAAACTGAGGAGTATGAGCCTGCATCTGGGCTGGACACTGTCAGTGAGCTTGGATGTACTAGGCCCAAACACCCCTGAGATGACTAGCCAAGTCTTCCAGAACTACTGGGCCAACTACAGTGCAAGCTTCCTCCACCCCAGCTACAGGTATTTGGGACTGGACTTAGATATAGTGGGAGGGAAAAAGAAGAATAAAACTTACTGAGTGTCGATAAGTGACATGATTGATATTTCTTTTGTAAATAATCTCACAGTTTTGTAAATTTGCACTTAAAATATCTATTCTGGTGTCTTTGTCATTGTCAGACCCAGTGTAGTCATACATATTTGAAATATGTGCAGTCCTCTTGACATCCAAAATGAAAGATATTATAATGTCCAAGCATTTGTCATCTTTCACAAGCAACCAACTCCTTGACTACAAACATCATCAAATATCAGGAATCCTTCAACTATTTTAATGTGGACAACATTGAGACTACAAGCATTTTGCAGGGCTAGTAGCATGGTTTGTCCTGTATAGATCATCCACACTTATGCACATCCTGTGAGTGAGAAGATAAAATCAGTGATGATTCCTCACATCTCTGCAGGCAATATTTCATCCTGTGTTTCAGCCATTCAAGGCTGGGAGGTGTACAATCAGAACATCACATCTCCAGTCTACCCACAGCTCAATGATCTACTGAGAAAAATTGCTGCATTTCTCAGGTTAAATGCTGTCCCACATGATGCTACAGCACTTCATGGCAATTTAGCATTCTATGTCAACTCTAAAATGTTGAAGACTAACCGATGATGGAAGGATGAAAGGAGGTACCTTAGGATTTTACCACCCTGCTGTCTACCATGAAGGTCTGCACTGCTCGATACTTGAATATCATATGCCAACTGAAGCCTTAACAATTTTACAACTTCTTTCATCCTTAACATTTCTAAAGAACTGCTCATATTTTGAATGGGTGTAACTTCACCAGCCTTAATAGTTACCTAACTTCAGCATCATGCCATATAAAGACCTGTAAAGTGCAGATATTTGTAAGATGGGATCAACACGAGATACCATGCATATGGATTTAGAAAATATTTACTCATCAATAGAAAAGTTCATGGAGTGCGCATATAAGCCAGCCCGTAAGTACTGTTGACTGACCAAGGGATGCTTGCCATATAACAACTGAAAGTAACAAAATGAAAGAAAGTCCAAACCAAACTCATTTCTGGCCTCTTGCGCTCAATGATGCATAGTTATATCATGGTTTCTTGCATGTTCTTCCTGGTCAATGTCCTGCTGCTTGTTCTTATCCTCAGAGGACTGCTGTCAATCCCTTACTTCGCCTACACTCAAACATTCCCCGCTTAATTGGATCAAACTGTGAAACATAGCATGTCACAATGATGTGACACACCCTTTCTGGGCTATTCTGTAAGGCCCCACAAGATTGGTCCAAGCATCAAGGGATACCTATGACTTATTTCACTTTGGCCCTCCTAGAATCATGTTCATTGTTATATCTCCATTCTGCATCAGGCTGAAGGTTTCTAAAGTGTTATCAACCATCCATCAAAGGGCTGTCCTTGTCTCCCATCAGCTAAGTTTGTATGGAATGATTCATGAACCCGTGAGTTCTTTAGTGTTAATTGTTCACAGCAGATCTCAGGATATCTGGCGTAAATAGTCACATGGAGTGGGAATCTCTTCTGTTGACGAACTCTGTAGATTGATGATAGCATGCTGTCAAAGCAATGAGGATGTAATCTGTAGCACCCTGCACCTGTGGGAAGCCAACAATTCTGGAGAATCGCACTGTCAAGGCTGCTTGACCCTCCTTGTGACGGACAGAATATTTAAACTGGTACAATTCATCCACCTCCTTCAGGAATCTTCAACTGCTGGTTGCCCCTCTGATGGCTGTGCAGCAACCGCTGGAGGCTAATGTTCTGGTGCAGCTTGGTGATAACGTTGTAATTGATGGCTTCCTTGATACTGTCTTTGCATGTTCAGCAAGGTCATAAGGAATCCTCTAACCATGGATTAGATGTGTCAGCCAACAATCTGTGGAGAATATCAGAAATGAAGTAGTGTTATGACTGTGATAGGAAGCATGCACTGGTAAGCCCCACTACTTCACACACCCTCCCATTTGTGTAAATGTTTAATTTCAATTACCAATGGTCAAATGGCCAATTAGTTTGTTTCATACTACTGTTATCCAGAGCAAAGGAAACTTTCACCAGGGTTCCTTAATGAACTCAAAAAATAAATTGTTTATTATAAACAAAACCCATTCTTTAAACACATTACAAAACTGGTTAACAACTTGGCTATAACCTGAAATTAAATTATATCCCTTTAATTCCAAACAAACACCTTCATGAGACAAAAAGACAATAACCCTTATTGAGAGCATTATTCAGAGCTTATGAGCAAAACAGTATTGGGGTCTGACCAACATGGGCTAAGATCGGATTTGTGGCAGAATTAGATGAGGAAGCTTCTCTCGAAATCAGGAGATTCTCACTCCATCTTTTAGATATTTTTAATCAACTTGTTCGGACACAACACACTGCTGGAATAGATGGGACTTGAACCTGCGTTAGGAACAGTACTACCGCACCACAAAAACCCTTATTGCTCTGTCTTTTATGCTTTTAACAAGTGCTGAGATGAAAGGGATTATTGCTTGTCAAACATCTTGTTAATGACCAATTCATCTCATTAACATTCAGCTTCTAATCTTATCAAACGTGCTAAATGAACTAAATATCCATGATCCACAGACACCAGCTGCACACACACCTCATCTATGGATATTTCTGTCAAACCCTAATGACCAGCCTGGATTCTCTCATATACACATACAGGCAGCTCACAAAGCACAGACTTGCATTACAGGATGCACTGTTAACTAGCTTTGGAAGACTGCAGCTTAAACATTTTGTATGCAAGCACAGGTATCCAGTTTACAGATTGGACCAGGCTCACTTGTTCTCTTAGCGCTCACTCACTTAGTCTAGTCCCTGTCTGCATGCTCGCATCATCCATGCTTTGCCCTGCCTTGCCAATTAGCACAGTCAAGCAACCAGCAGCTTGCGTTGCTGGTCAGCAGTCAAGAGGGTGGATATCTTTGTATACAGCAGTGGGCTACATCAATCTCACACCCATACCACGTGCCATCAACTAATGTGGCAAACAAACTGCATATGTAGCAAGCAGGCACCAAGTGTGAAAGTCTTAGGCAAGTAGCCCTCACCAAAGTCCGTGGAGGCATCCATCAGTCATGGGCCCCAACACAGCCAGTCAATGACAACCTCCCATTCCAGTTGAGATGATTGGCCGCAGTCAGGCATCCAGTCGAGGTGTTCTCGGTCAGGGGATTGTGCCTTTGCAGTCTGGGATGTGGGTTATGGTCAGTCCTCTGGCAACATTGCAGCCAGTCCACACTGTAGGGCTAATGTGATCGGGAAGATGTACAGGCATCTGTGAGGGGTCAGGGTATTTATCGTCCAGTGTTGTCTGGTTAGGTCACTGTTGTGGGTGAGCAGTTAGTCTGCCTAGTTCATCCATTTCAAATAAGGGGAAAGTGTGGAGGGGGCGCGGTGGTGAAGAAAGGGGCTACTACAACCAGGGAGAATTGAGAACATATCCTTTGGGACTGGGGGAAAGCAGATAACATTTGTGAAGGGGGTAACCCGTAGCTGCAAGAGAGAGATATGGTAAAGCATGATCAGGAGCACTCTGGTTTCAAGGTAGTGAATGTCTATGACCATTCCTGGTGCTATTGGCTGCTTCATTGATGCTGATGTTAGTACGCTTGTCCTCCCAGCTGAGGCAAAGAATCCATCTCAAACAGAATTTACGGTACTTCTCAGGAGCCTTGAGGTGGCATCAATATGTAGTACACGTAGAAGAGTCAGAAACATTACTGCCTTACACAGAAGTTGATTTGTGTGGAGCTTTGTTTTTGCTTTTTGCAGGCAGTAAGCTAAATGTTCCCAAAGCCAATACAGAATTTGGTAGTCCAATGTAAAATTGTATTCTGGGTGGAAATTTAAATATTTATTTTCTCATTGCAGAAATGCTTTTGCTAAAGATCAAAAAAGTGTTACCATTGTCCCTAAACCAAATCCAAACATATATATTGGACAACGTTATGGGATGTCTAATCTTGATGCTTTGAAGGTTAACAAGCTGTATAATTGCGGTAAGTGTGATATATGGATTCATTTATGTGAACTTCATCAATATGCTAAATACAGACAGAATTTTCAGTCCAAACATAAAATAGAATAATTTAATTCCTGTACGTAGCTAATTTAGCAGTTGAAACATACAGGAATTCATGGGAGTTAAAGGTATATTGACTGCATTGTTAACGTTAAGGACATACATGCAGTATTTTGAGCACATATCAAGAGAAACTTCTTGGAGTGCATTATCCGTCCACTCCCCTCCCCCCAAAATGAAATTTAAACGTAGTTATAAATTAAACATTTTATTTTTGTAGTGCCTCTTCTAGGAGTGGCCACTTGTTAATTTGGTTTAATTTGTATCAATGGTTTCAAAAGAGTATTAGAGACGCTTCTGAGAACTTAGATGTTGGTTAGTGAGGAGGTCGAAATACGCAATGTTGCATTCAATAAATAAATCTATTATTAAGTAAAAATAATGCCCTTTGGTTTCCTATTTCACTGTTTGGCATCAGGATGAGTCAACATTATCGCAGAGAATGGTTACCTAAAGTTAAAGGTTATTAAGAAATTAGAAATTAAGGAAAATATTTTGTTTTTCAGACAGAAGTTTGTGATCTGAGATACTTTTGAGAAGACTGGTTGAAAGCAAATTAAAATTGTCAGGGTGTGATTATAGGCTAATGTTCTTTAAATCTGAACCTCAAGAATACTGCAAAAATGAAGTGGGCAAATAGACAAGTGTTATAAAGAGATCTTAGATATTGCATTGACCCTGCAGGCAACTTTGGACTAGCCTGGCAGGATCTAGTTTCATGGTATTCTCTGCTAGTCCTTGGGGAAACAAGATGACCTTCTGTGCACCACCCCAAACACCAGGATTTCCAGGTGCCTGTTTGCAAAGTGGAGTGCCAATTTTCCTTTATCAGACATGTCTTGGAAAATGACTGATACTGTGCAGGCCAATTCTGGTCTAATAGCAGTTAAGACCATAATGATAAGACCATAAGAAATAGGAACATGAGTAGGCCATTTGACCCTTTGAGCCTGCTCTGCCATTCAACAGGATCATGGCTACTCAGACATTCCTCAAAGCCACTTTCTTGCATTTTTCCCTTGATTCGCCACTGATCAAGTACCTGTCTCAGTCTAAAAAACACACAAGGACTCTGCCTGCACAGGTCTCTGCAGAAAGCTATTTTCAGTTTATTGAGTATTCTGGAACAAATAACGTCTGACAATGGACCATAATAACCTCGAAAACTGTTTCAAGACATATGTACCAAGTGGGGAGTGACCCATATCGCATCATCATCCCTGCATCCATACTAAAACAGCTTATCAGAACATATAATACGCACTATAAAATCAATAATCACTTAGCGCCAAGCAACAAAACAAGATTGCTGCATCGCATTGCAGCATTTTTGTGCAACGCTGATGGTAAAGTGAACAAAGTGTGCTCAGAAGGCAATTGTGCAAAACCTTACCCATCGACCAAATGTCTAACCATTCTGAGACACACGAGTTATTTCTTCAAGACAGAGGAGGTTGAAAGAGATACACAATGAGAGAAACAGGTAGAGAACTACCAAAATTGTGCTCTGGGCCTTGAGTATGAGTTAGAAATCTAAATCCAAACACATAGATACTAGCAAATGTTTCTAAAGTATGCAACCAGCCCAGATCATATAAAGTTATTCTTGGTCATGGTGCTATATTACATAGTAATAGCAAGCAGCTCAGATCAGTATATAACAAGCCACTTTCCTCACTAGAAGGCAGTGCGACTATCATGGTTGTGTGATGATGTTGAGTTGCAGCAACTCATAGCAAGTTGCCAAAGAAGCGATACAGAGAATAATGCATACCTCTCCAGATGGGTAATTGATCAATTCCAAAATATTATAGTTAAGTTTTAAATATTACTGTTATAAACTCTTTTCTTACTCACATGTATACTTGTTGAATTGACACCACACGCATGTGTGCATCCATGTAAAGGTAAAGTTGGCATAGCCTGACCAGATCATAAGACTGCTTTCTCATTAGGAAGAGATAACTGGTGATGGTTTACCTTGAGGATCAGCACACCTCAGGCAATGGTAGAGATTGAGAAGGAGAATCCTTCATAGTAGTTTTAGTTGCCACAGGAATTGAACCCATGGTGTTGGCATCATTTGACATTGCAAACCTGCCATCCAGCCAACTGAGCTTAACCAACTATGTATATCTGTTTGGGATAATTTTTCATCTCTGGAAAGAGGAATGCTATGTTTCTCGGTCAGTATCTGCATACATTTAAGAGACAAGCCCATGATAACATAATATATTATAGCATGTGATCTGAAGATAAAAAGATCTTAGTCATCCTCCTACACTGGGATCACTCAGAGCATTACACATTACTAGAAGCATGCTGCTGGATTGTAATCTAATAGCTTAATGTTACCATGGTCACTGTGTTTGTGAATACAATGATTCTATGTAATACTTTGTTGTAATAGATTTCTATCGGCTTCTCCAATGCTATGATGTCCATCTCCGGTTTCTAATGTCACAGGGGATAACATAATTATTGCTGTATTGTATAAAATACCTGCTCGAGGCAAACTCACATCAACAGCAGTGGCAGAGAGACCGGAAAGCAGCACAAGACAACAAGAGAGAGCAACAGTTGTGAGATGATAAAACATTGTACCAGGGTGAGAGAGAGTAGCAGCAGGGACACATTAAAACAGAACGAGGGGAAAGAAGAGCTGTAGCAGAGAACAAAACAAGCAACACAAGGGGAGGAGAGAAGACAGCAGCAGAGAGACTGTTAAATGGTACAATGGAAGGAGAGCTAGCAGCAGTGGAGATACCATAAAATGGAATGAGGGGAAGAGAGAGCAATGGCAGGGAGACCCGCAAGCAATGTGAGGGGAGAAGGATGAGAAAAGTATCAGAGAAACTAGAAAACAGAATGAGGAAAGGGAAGAAGGCAGCAGAGGAGATGCAATAAAATAGAATGACAGGAGGAGAGAAAGCAGTGATGCAAAGACCATAAAAAAGTACAAGTGAAGACCTCTGCAGGACACCCTCCATGAAATGACAAAGAAGGACAGCGATGCAGAGGGTGGCTGAGAGTCATCACACCGGAATTCTGGTAGACATGGCTACAGTCACGACGACTGCACAGGAGACCTCTGCAGGACACCCTCTGTGAGATGGCAAAGAAGGGCAGTGAATTAGAAGGTGGCTGAGAGTCATCATAGTGGAATTCTGGAGACATCACCACAGTCATCATGACTGTACAGCAGTTCAGAGAGAACCTGGTGACAAGGTGTGGTTTAACCTGAAACACTACATTGGTACTTCCCACCCTCCCTCCTCCTCTGACAAATAAAAAAGGTGCTCAGTGAGGAGATAATAGGTTAGGTAAAGGTGTGCAAGGGAGCAACCGTTAATAAACGGGGCCACTGTTAGAGTGGAAATGCTGAGGCATTTGTTCAAGATGTTTTGGCATCAGGAGGCTGAGCAGGATTGCAGGTAAGAGCTGGTAAGGGCTCTTTAACTCTACTTTCTTTCTGTCTAGATTGAAGGCAGTTAGGGCAGTGGCATGCTCCTGTTGCAGGATGTGAGAGATCAGGGAGATTTCTAGTGTCCCTGGTGGCTACACCTGTGAGAAGTGTACCCAGCTGCAGCTCCTGACAGACCGTGCTAGGGAACAGGAACTGGAGCTGGATACATTCAGGATCATCTGGGGTGCAGAGAACATCATTGATAGGAAGTATAATGAAGTAGTCACTCCTAAGGTTCAGGCTGATGTAGCTGGGTGACCAGTAGAAGAGGTAAGGGAGGAAGGCATATAGTGCAGGGTTTCCCTGTGACCATTCCCCTCAATAACAGGTATACCGCTTTGGATACTGTTGGGGGGGAATAACCTTTCAGGGCTAGCAACAGTAGTCAGGTCAGTGGCACTGTGACCGATTCTGAGGCTCAGAGGGAAAGGGTGCATTCAGACAGAGTGATTCTGATAGGAGACTCAATTCTGAGGGGGACAGACAGGAGATTCTGTGGCCGCAGAAGTGACACCAGGATGGTGTGTTGCCTCCCGTGTGCCAAGGTCAAGGATGTTTCTGAGCGGTTGCAGAACATTCTGAGCGGGGAGGGTGCACAGCCAGAGGACCTTGTGCACATCAGTACAAATGACATAGACGACTACAAGGAGTTAGCTAAGAAGTTAGAAAGCAGAACCTCAGTGATCTCTGGATTACTTCCAGTGCCATGCGCCGGTGAGGTTAGAAATAGAAAAACAGACCAGATGAATGTGTGGCTGGTGTAGGGGTTAGGGTTTTCAGTTCTTGGATCATTGGGATCTCTTCTGACGTAGAGGTAATGTGAACAAGAGGGACGGGTTGCACTTGAACCAGAGGGGTCCAATATCCTTGCGGGGAGATTTGCTAGTGTTACCCAGGAGGGTTTAAACTAGTTTGGCAGGGGCGGGGTGGGACTCTGAATGAGAGAGGGGCCGTTGAGAAGTCACTGGAAAATATATCAGCCATCGAGAGCAAACTTACTATTTAGGATAGCTAGGGGCACAGTAAAGGAAGGCAAAAGATGTCTAGTTCAAAATGCATTTATTACAATGCACGAGGTAATGGCTGGTAAGGCGGATAAGCTCAGAGCATGGATTGGCTCTGGGGACTGGGATATTATAGCCATAACAGAAACATGGCTGAGAGAAGGACAGCTCAATGTTCCAGGATACAGAAGCTACAAGTGTGACAGAAACACAAGTAAGCAAGGAGGGGGAGTTGCCCCATTGATAAGGGAGGACATAACAACAGTGCTTAGAGAGGATATTCTTAAGGGGTCATCACATGAGGCTATATGGTTAGAACTTAGAAACAAGAAGGGGACTTCTTATAGACCCCCACATAGTCAGTGGGTACTAGAGGAGCAGATGTGTAGAGCGATTGCAGACACCTGTAGGAATAATAGTGTAGTATTGGTTAGAAATTTTGATTTCCCCTGTACTGACTGCACCACCCAGAGTCTAAAAGGCCCGGACGGGATGGAATTTGTCAAATATGTCCAAGAGTTTCCTAAATCAATATGTAGGGGGCCCTAATCAGGAGGGTGCCACACTTGACCTTCTCTTAGGAAACATGTCGGGCAAGTGACTGAAGTGTCAGTTGGAGAGCACTTTGGATCCAATGACCATAACTCTCTTAGTTTTAACATAGTTATGGAAAAAGATAGGACAGGTCCACAGGTTAAGATGCTAAACTGGAACGGGGCCAATTTTGGGGCCATTAAGCAGGATCTAGCAGAGGTTGAATGGATGAGTCCATTGTTTAAGAAAAGTAGCAAAGACAAGCCAAGGAACTACAGGCCAGTGAGCCTGACGTCAGTGGTAGGCAAGTTATTGGAGATGATACTGAGGGACGGGATCAACCAACATTTGGATTGAAAAGGTCTGATTAGGGATCGTCAGCACGGATTTGTGCATGGGATGTCATGTCTGACAAATCTTTTAGAGTTTTTCCAAGAGGTAACCAAGAGGATACGTGAGAGTAGGGCAGTGGATGTTGTCTATATGGACTTTAGACAGGCCTTTGATGGGTCCCACACAGCAGGCTAGCCATGAAAGTTAGGTCGTATGGGATCCAGGGAGAGCTAGCTAGTTGGATTCAAAATTGGCTTGAAGATAGGAAGCAGAGGGTGATGGTTGAAGGTTGTTTCTTGGAGTGGAAGCTTGTGATTAGTGGTGTGCCACAGGGCTCGGTGCTGGGACCTTTGTTATTTGCATAAATGACCTGGATGTGAATGTACAAGGCATGATTAATAAGTGTGCGGATGATACAAAATTAGGAGGTATCGTTGACAGAGAAGAAGGTTATCAAAAATTACAGAGAGATCTTGATCAGTTGGAGAAGTGGGCTGAGGATTGGCAAATACAATTCAATTAAGATAAGTGTGAGGTGTTTCACTTTGGAAAGTCAAACCAAGGTAGGAATTATACAATAAATAGTAAGGCCCTGAGGAGTGTTGTGGAACAGAGGGACCTAGGAGTACAAGTACATAGTTCATTGAAAGCAGCATCACATGTAGACAGGGTGGTGAAGAAGGCATTTAGCGTGCTGAACTTCATCGGTCGAGGCATTGAATATAGGAGTTGGGATGTTATGTTACAGCTGTATAAGTTATTGGTGAGGCCGCACTTGAAGTATAGTTTGCAGTTTTGGTCACTCTGTTATAGGAAAACTGGAAAGTGTGCAAATAAGATTTATGAAGATGTTGCCAGGATTAGTAGGCCTGAGTTATAGGGTGAGGTTGGTCAGGAAAGGTCTTTATTCCTTGGAACGTAGGAAAATGAGGTTGACCTTATTGAGGTGTATAAAATTAGGATGGGCATAGGTAGGATGAATGCATATAATCTTTTTCCCAGGGATGGGGAATTGAAAACTGGAGAGCATAGTTTAAGGTGAGAGTGGAAGGATTTAAGAAGGACCTGAGGGGCAGCTTCTTCACGCAGAGAGTGGTGTGATATTGGAATGGGCTGCCAGACAAAGTGGTTGAGGCAGGTACAATAGAAACAATCTAAAAACATTTGGAAATGTACATGGATGGGAAGGGTTTAGAGGTATATGGACCAAATGTGGGCAATTGGAACTAGCTGAGTGGGCACCCTGGTCAGCATGGATCAGTTTGGGCTGAAGGGCCTGTTTCCATGCTTTATTACTCTATGACTTTATGACTGTATGAAGGAGCAAGCAGCAGTGGTGAAACCATAAAAGAACAAGAGGAAATGAGAGAGCAGAGGAGAAGTAATAAAACAGAGTGGTGAAAAGACAATAAAAGTGTGCGAAGACTGGTGAACACGTAAAACAGAATGAGGGGTGAGAGTAGCAATGATAGACAGGCTGTTAAACAGTCCAAGGGGAGGAGAGAGAGCAGTGATGGAGAAACAATGAAACTGTAGAAGAGCAGATGAGAGCAGTGACAGAGGGGCCATGAAACAACATGAAGTGAAGTGAGAGTGCAGCAGTGGAGAGAGGGCAATGGGGAAAGACTGTTAAACATTCTAGTGTGCTGAGAGGGAGCAGTGACAACAGCTGGGGTCTATGGCTCCTGAGCAGGTCTGAGAAATATGCACATGTGATATCACAGGGCAATGGCTAAGTTCTTGGTTGGGGAGCATTTTTTGTTTGTGTATATAAACCTCTGTGATACATTAGCAGTTGTATAGTTTCACCAGTTGTGTTATGGTTTACTGGCAGTAGTAAAGCTTATTAGATGTAGTAGGATTTATTAATTATTAATTATCCCAGAATAAAGATTGCAGAACAGGTATCAGATATCCTGTTGTGGCTGCGGTATGTTGGATCTGATAGACACCAGTGCGGTTCATGGCAACCACATTTGCACGAAGTGTCTACAACTTGAGGGCTCAAAATAAATGAGCTGGATTCCAAGTTACAGATGCTGTGATGCATGAAAGAAAAGTTGCCTGTACACTTTGTTCCAGAAGGTAGTTACAGTCGTCAGGATGGAATCATCTGATTTGGTTAGTCGTCAGGGCAGGAGGTGGGACTGCAAGTGTAACAGACAAGGGGACGAAGAATAAAGAAGTGGAGGAACCTCATCCTTTCAATTGTCCAGTAGGTAAGAGTGGTGGCTATGAGGTGGAT